TCGCCAAAAAGAGCGGAAAGAAAAGATTGGAAAATGCATCTGCAGTTGATTTACGTCAACCTAAGGACAGGGATCCTAGTGTCAACAATGATTCGGAGATTCAAGAGCTGATCGCATCTCTTCCACCTCTGATCGACCTTGGGTTATCTACCCACGAATTGATTGCTATCGGCTACAACTATAATTCAACTAAGATTTCGTTTGGCAACTCCATTTTCAATCAATGGATGGAAGACCATAATGATCCGTGGACCCAAGCGCTCCCAAGGTTTGACAGCCCGTTCAAGGACCTCTACGCCAATTATTCAGTTGAAGTCAGGGTTAACATGCTATTCGCTCAATATGCGAACGATTGGCGGCGAGTGTTGAAGTTCCTAATTTCGCTTCTTGACGATGACGCTTTGGGAAAGGTGAAAAAAAATACAGAATACACATGGGGAGTGAGAGCAATTGCATTGCAAGTCGCCCAGCAGATTCTGTTTTCCTTTTTCGATTTTGGCCTTGTGAACGATTCCAAAGTGCCACAAGAAGATCTTTATTTTTTGAGGGACGATCGGTCGAATCCCGCTCTACGAAATGAGACTCCTCTGGTGCAGTTTTGGCTGATGTGCGCTTCCATATTCGATCACCCATGGACGATGCTGTTTGACGAATTTCTCGAGGAATCCCCAATCCCTTGCATTCAAGAAATAAAATTGAAGGTGATTGAGGGATTCCCCAATGACGAAACTAGTAAGGTGGACATCCATAAGGGGGTCAAAAAGATATTTGATCCAGATTACGAAGATTCTGAGGAGCAAGACGACCCAATGGGCGACGAGGATACTGGCCTTGTCAATAAGTTCGGCCAACCCGATGGGTGGGACTCTGACGAGACAGTTGATGACAACACTAACAACAGAAGGCACGACATGGACATAGACGGCGAATTTGATTCTGGCGATGATCGCATCCACGACGACGATGATGACAAGGACGAGGTGGAGGAGGACGACGAGGATTTTGACGAATCAACCAAGGATTCTGTCATTCTCGTGGAAAATTCTTACAAAACTACGGATACTGAAAATGAAGAAGACACTAACTACATGGGCCTGAATACGGATGAGGTAGTTTCCGAACTGACCGGTGTTACTGGTGAAGACAAGGATCCTGAATTGGCTTCCCCGCCGAGGAAGAAGGGACGGTCCTACAGGGTTTCGGTGGTCGCTCCGTCTACAGAAATGGAGGTGGACGGGAGCTCCTTGAGTGAACCCGGGGCTAAACATACACATTCAACGTCTGCTTCACAATCAACCACACCAACCGCACCAAAAACGGACACCACTTCGACGAAGCAAAGCTCTAAGGCCAAACGCAGACTCCAACGCAGCCTGATATTGGAAGAACGCCTAGATGGGCTGCGACAAGTCAACTTGGACGGCATGGTCGGTCAGGCTATCCTGGTTGAACTGGGAATGGCTTACAGCTATCAAGGTCAACAAGGGGGGAATACGACCCATGCCTCTATTATCTTGAACCATATTCTGGATACGCTGGCAGACGTCCTAAAGAACGCGGAGGAGACGATTCGCTTTCTTCCCTTGTCTGACAGCGCTTACAAGAAGTCTAAGCAGTGGATCCGAACGGAAGCGGATCTTTGACGGCTGATTCCCGATTACCGGAGCTTGTCCAAGTATCTGGACATGTCTTTCGGCAACATGTCATATGCCTCGACTTCTAATAAGCCAGGTGAAAAGAAGCTTCGAACAAGGATGAGAGTGGGTTTTGAGGTTGAGGTGGCGGCAGGAACGATTCGCCAATATCTACACGGCGAATTGCGTCCGCAAGGGTATGGAGCGGGATGCTATGAATCGGTTCTACAGTTTGGCGATATCGAGAAAATTGGGGCTCTGTGCTTCTATCCACAGGAGATTAACATCAGGGCTATGGAGAAAGAATTAATGAGACACTTTGACTGGAAGACGGTTATCGGCCTGCGGTACAAATGGGTAAACATTCCCTACAACGGCCGCAGCAAGTGGAATGAACGATCGCCCGGATGCATGATGTGGCACGTTTACGTCAGATCGAGGGACGCTAAGCAAGCGGACCAAGAACTACGATTATGGCTGCACCCGTCTACCCCTAAGAAAGATTTCCCATGGTGCGCTGTCACACACTACATTAGCGATTGGGACAATCAGCGTTAAGGCCGTGGGTCCGGTTAAGGATGAGAATCTCACTATGATCTCGAAGCATAACGACTTCGTGGAACTGACACAGGCCAAATATTGTCCAGTTGAGATTCCAGGGATGTTGAAACAGGCAACTACCAAAGCCTTTGGTCCTCGCACTTGTTTGTCTATGTTTCTTTCCATCAAAGCCCGACCTGTCCATGCGGAGAAAGTGGCAGCTGCGGATGTGAACTCGGATTCCGATTCTGATGACTCCTTGCTGGAGGACGTCTCCCACAAGTTCACCAAAGTGACCGTCAAAGGGAAGACGAAGATCAAGAAGCAACCTCCAAAGTCGGCTGTGGCACCAACTCTGGAGCATGACGGTCCGGTTCTCACCCCTGCGCAGCAGCGCCGTGCGAAGGAAGCGGAGAGGAAGAAAAAAATGGACTTGGAGAACAACGTTCCTAGTCCCTTGTTCATTATGGTGTTACCAGGTGAGATGGAAGGGACCTACTTGTTCATCAGTAGGCTGAAATATGCGGCCTTGGCAACGAATGTACTGAATGGACTGGTCCCATTCTTTACGCATCATTTGGGGGAGTTGACGACTACTCAAGCTAATAGGGTGATTGCGAAGTGGCTGTCCATGTCTCTGATCCATACGACACGCCGCAAGGAACTTGTGTGGTGCTTGGAGACTTTACGGGCTCGACCATCGGACCAAACCCTACAAGGCATTGATGAAGCTATCGATTTCCTTGATGGATTTGGGTCTGACCCACTTGACGTCGCCAAAGCTAAGCTGGAATTCGATATGGAAATGGCTGATGCAAAAGATATCGATGATGGAGCTACAGTAGCAGGCGCCATGGATGAGTTACTTGAGAAGGATAGCCAACTGGAAGCGGCAATCACTGAAATTGAGTTTAAGGAGACTATTTTGGTTGAAAAGAGCAGCGCTTTGGAAGCTGAACAAATTCGGTCTGAGTCCCTGGCCAACGAACTCGCGGCTCTGCGCCTCCTGCAACAGACCATTTCGAGCCAAGCGGCGCAGCCGGCTGTGCCTCCTCAACCTGCAGCCACGGTTCCCTTTCCCCAGGACAGGTCAGAGTCAGCAGCTTCCGATTCTGTCGCGAAGGAGCCAACTCCGCCGGCTACTCCAGCGCAATCAGCCAAGTCAAGCCCGCTTACGGCTCCACTACCGAGCTCGCCACCTCGGGCTACTGAGACCATCGCCAACCAACCTCCGCCTCGAGACACCACCGCTGCTGCTTTTTGGAGGGAACTTGTGACTCCGGATCACACAGCACGGATGCTGTCGAACTCGGACCATAGCAATGCGTTGGACCCAAGCTCTGGTCCAGGGTCCTCTACTCCGTCTCTGGCCAGTTTTCGGGTCTCTGACAATCCCTCGGATGGTTCCCCATCCCCGGTCTTCCCCATCTTCCGTCATCCTCAACACTCTCCTCCTTCTGACCGTACTAAGGGTAAACGAAGGAAGAAGAAGCCACCGGCCAGCGGTGGAGCCTCTCGCTCCACGGCAGGGCCATGAGAGGCCCTCGATCGTCGGCCGCTCGGTCACGGCGTGCAGGCAGAAGATCCCGACTAAGTGGCCCCTCGACTGATGTCCCCCATGCATCAGTAGAGGAATTTTTAAGTTCTCTTCCCGCCGGCGATTTCTTCGGTGATGATCACAGATGTCACCGTTCTGCACTGACCCGCCTGATCTTCCAAAATGTCAATGGCCTCCCGGCCGTGTCGACAGGGCGGAAACAGTTACAGAT